ATGGCGGACAAAAAAAATGGCGGACAGCCTTGCTTGGCGACCCCCGTGAAATGGTCGATCGACCCCAAATGGGGTCCCGACCCACAGGTTGAGAACCACTGCCCTAAGGGAAGGAAGCTGCTTCTCGGTCAATGTGTACTCTGATTGAAAGTAGAAGAGCACTCAGAGGTTTCTGCCCTGGGGAGTGCCAGCATTGAATATCAGCCACAGACAGGCCTCCCTTTCTCAGTTGGAGTTGGAAGCCTGGCTGGCTTTTCCCCAACTGCCTTCAGCCCTTCTGAAGTCTTGCAGCGGATGAGGGCATAGGTAGAGAGAAAGGATTGAAAGAGAATTGCAGGAACTGGACCAAGGTGGTTAGAAGGCAGGAGAAAGAAGTAGCAGAATGGAGAGGAGTGGAAGAAATTACTGGTGGACAATGAGCAGATGAATTCAATCCTGGTGGATTAAATGTAAAATCACAGAACTGAAATAAAATAAAATAAGATAACCTGCTTTTAGGGATGACGCTGACCACAGTACTGAAACTTCAAATTCTTGGGCAGTTGAAGACAGACTGAAATAAACATTAGGGGACTGGAGGCTAAAGCATATAAGGAACGGTTGCTGGAATTGGGTATGTCTAGTTTAATGAAGAGAAGGACTAGGGGGGACATGATAGCAATGTTCCAATATCTCAGGGGCTGCCACAAAGAAGAGGGAGTCAAGCTATTCTCCAAGGCGCCTAAAGGCAGGACAAGAAGCAACCGGTGGAAACTGATCAAGGAGAGAAGCAACCTAGAACTAAGGAGAAACTTCCTGACAGTTAGAACAATTAACCAGTGGAACAACCTGCCTCCAGAAGCGGCAAATGCTCCAACATTGGAGGTTTTTAAGAAGAGACTGGACAGCCATTTGTTCGAAATGGTATAGGGTTTCCTGCCTAAGCAGGGGGTTGGATTAGATGACCTCCAAGGTCCCTTCCAACTTTACTATTATTATTATTATTATTATTATTATTATTATTATTATTATTATTATTAAACATGGATTTATAGCAGGTAAAATTGGTGCTCCTGAGGTGCTTTGAAGAATAGAAATAGTGACTTGTGACTGGGAATAAGAATGGTAGTTTCTGAGAAGGAATTAACAGATTGAACAAAATCTGTAAAATAACCTGCAGGTAAAAGAGAGATAGAATAGAGGGAACTTCCAAACAAGCCAGCTACTCAAGAGAGCAGCGAGAGGCAAAATATGGGGAGGGTGTTCCAAAGAGTGTACTTGAGGAGAGAAGAAACAGTGGCACCATGCAACAAGGTTAACCAGGGTTAAAGGCTTTGCCTGCGTAACTACTCATTCCCATGAAGCTGAATAGTCTGTGGTAATGCAGGCATCTGTCAATAAGATTATTATTTCCACAATCTATTAAGATACATGAAAGGCTTAACGAGGCCGTGACTTGTTAGCTAAAAGCAGAAGTTCATTTGAGATTTAGCAAGGTTCAAACCTGGACTTGCAATATTTTGGTTTTCAAGAAAGTAAATTTGAAAGTTTGGGTTTAGATTCCAACTTCTGCCAATTGGGAATGACAGCTGTAGTGCATTTGGATGACATAGAAAATCTCAGGCCTCCAACTCAGATGAAAAAGAACCCCTAGGTTGGGAGACTATACCTTTGCTAAACCTTTCCACAGCAGAGTATGCCATGCCAACATTGTCTTTTCCTAGAAAACCTGGCCTAATCAGCCCCTTTTGTTGAAGATGTCATTCTCTTCCTTGGTAGTTAAGGGAGCAGACACAGAAAAATGGCAGCAAGCAAGAGAGGGCGAGGGCCATTTCTGTGATTAACACAAGTGATAATAACACCCACAACAGTTGAATGTTTCATTAGTCCCACCCATACACTGATCATGTGTGATTACCTTGGGAGTCCTTACACAAAGTTTGTGTTATGGATTTGAAATGTTATGTTTGACTAACAGTAGTCATTTTACAGATCATTTTATACATGATGGATTACTGAACTCAATGAATTGTGTACAGGCCCATTGTTTTACTTGAACAAGTAAATTTCATTTGCATTGATTTTTTTTAATGGATAACGTCATGCAAAAATCTGAAAAATTCCTTATTTGCAGGGCTTTTTTGACCCTGACATGAAAAGATGGATAGATAGACTAGATAATAAATAGAATAGGGAAGAAGAAGAAAAATAGAATAGAGTAGAGTAGAATAGACAATATGAAATAGAATGGAATGGAATATTTTGTTTGGTTGCAAGTTATTTTTAAGTTCTAATAGTATCTTAGGTGTCTATTTCAGTGTTACTATGGTATATGTTAACTCTAAAGATTACTTTGTTTAAAACAAAATGATTACTCAACCTTTTAATTTTTTAATAATCTTAATTATATGTTGTGATTCATAATTTCAAAAAAGGAACTGATAGAGAGTAGACCAAGAGGACAACAGGTAGTTTTAAAATTATTTTTACATTTATGCTGAACCTGAGGAGGGATGTTGAATATTTGCCTCAATGGATATTTCCTCTGGGTGTGAAAGAGATATCTATATAGCGAATTAGTCTTTTGTGTTTTCCAGAACAAGTCAGAATACCTCAGACATATTTTTACTCCATCTAATTCCTATTCCTTCCAGTTTCTATCATGGTAAAGCCTTAAAACAACTGTGGAGCTGCTCATAAGTCCAGTTTAAAAAAAAAATGAAAACCAGAAAAAGGGCCTTAGAACCTGACACAAAAATGTCATTCCTCCTCTCTCCCTTTCTTCTTGTAGTGTTCCTTTTCTGGTTGGGGCAGGATAGTTGGTTGTACCAAATTCAGTAATTACATGAGTTCATTCCAGTTAAAGTACATTTACAGTATGCCAGATGGCACGTGGAGAAACCACCAGCTGTGAAATTTCTGAGGACAGCCTCAGCAAAGGCCTAGGAATCCATCTTCATCTAACACCTTTTAATAGCAGAAGATTTTTGCAAGACGAGTGGTAGTCAGAAGATTGATTTAATAAGCCAGACAGCTGTTAAAGCTCATAAGCCAGAAAGAAGCAGGCTCTAAGCCAGCATACCAAAGTAGAATTAAATACCTTGGGCCCTAAAGAGGTCGGGTGAAATATGACAAAATTGCTAAATAGAAATGTGAAGGCCCTATGGATATCCAGTCTGTGCCATGAGTTTTCTAGGAAGGTTTTTGACAGAAAAAGAAAGGAAGGATTTATATTCCATGTGAAAAGGTAAGTTTAGTTTGTGAATGAGGTCTAATGACAGACTATGGTCAACTTGTTAAGTAGCTTCTAGCTGAGAAGAAGGGTTGATGCCACAAAAAAACTTCCTGGTGGTGACGTTGAGGAGATTAAATATGAAGGTTTCGATGGAGGCATCTCAGGATTTTGAGAACCATTTGTAAACTCCAGGTAGGGAACCAGTGAATAGCAGCATTATTTGACAGGATTCCCCCTCAGAGACATCTGTGAAGATGAAATATTTTTCCCCACTCTAACCAGGTCTGAGAATATGGCTTCAAGACGTATTAAGCCTCTAATCCATCCTCTTATTTTTTATGCTCTGTTGTTTCATCAACTGATATGTAGATTACTTCCTGGACAAAGGAATGTTGAAATGGCAATCTTACGTAAATCTCCTGTTTGGAAGCAAGGTGGATCCAAGCATGGGATTGAAAGCGTGAGAACAGATTTGGAATGATTGGCAGGAAGGTTGCTTTTTGGATAACTGTGGAATTTCCAGATGTAGTAAGAAATCAAGGCCTGGTTGCCTTTTGAATTAATTCCTCAAATTTTCTGATACCCTGATATATGGGTAAATTTCTAGCTAACAAAGAGGCGCTCCCAAATGCCATATTAGAGTTTTCAAGTCTAGCAAATGGCAAGTTGCTGCCAAGAGCCCTTTCTTCCTGTAGCCACACAACTTGGACTGGGTGAGATTCCAGAAGGCAAGAGCTGCTGAGTTGGCTGGATCTGCTTTCCCACCGGCTTTGATTTTGGAGTAGACCAGACATGTCAAACACAAGGCCCGGGGGCCGGATGCGGCCCGCGACGTGGTTTCATGTGGCCCGCGAAGCCATCCTGGAAACAGTGAGGGAACGGCCCCCACTTCCTTGGCCCTGGCCCTGGCCGGCCGGGAGCCAATGTACAATTTTGTGGTGGCCATCTATGCTGAAACGCATTCAGTCTTAGCTCCACAAGGCCGTCTAGAAACAGCGAGGAACCAGCCCCTGCGTGCTGGGGAGGTGTCACCCTTTGTGAGGAATGAAGAAATGGACCATGCCTTGGCGCTTGCCCCAGTCCCACCCCCTTCTGCCAGAGACCCTCAGATCTGTCCCACTCCTGCCCAGGCCCCCACAGGCACCCTTGACGCGAACGATGTAGAGCTGGCCATGCCCACCCAGTAGACCACAACCACTCCATCCACGCCCACCCAGTAGGCCGCACCCACCTGCCCCCCCCCCCCGAGGGCAACTGCAATGCTGATGCGGCCCTCAATGAAATTGAGTTTGACACCCCTGGAGTAGACAATCTGCAGTTGTTTTATGTTTTAAGTAACCACCTGCTGATATGAAAGAAGCGCTACAGGGATTAACGTGTACACTTGATGGTTAATGCCCATTGAGGTGAGCGCTGGCTGGAAGGAAGGGAACAGATTTTCTTCCTAGGCAATAGCCTGCTGAGTGAAAACTGTTGGTGATCCAGTCTGATGGATAACGATCGATCGGGCTTACAAGTGCTCACATGCAAAACACATCTAAGCTTTTAAAATGTCTGAAGTTTCTGGGTGAGGAAAAAACCCTGAAGCCCCAAAGGATCTTGCAGAGCCAACAACAACAAAAAGCACTACAGATGTTCAATCCTTCTCTGCATGAAGGCCTAGAAAATAGCTGAAAAGAATCAAAAAGAAAATAAGATAAAGAGATGGGATGTGTGTTCTCTGCTCCCCTAGCAATAGGGAGATTTCCCCATTTTGCATCAAGTGAATGAATGCCCATTGGCCTTATCTGTTTTCTGTTCTTCAACAAGTGTGCCCTTTTTTTGGGGGGAAAACATAACTTTCTTTCACGTTGAGGTTCAAATCAGGATTGCCAAGAGGGAATTAAAGTTGTTCACTGTTTCAGCTTTGAGGGGGGAAAAGCCCGCAAATCGTAGCTCGCCAATATAGTAACAGTGAATAACCGAAGAAGGAAAGATGAGAGGCACAATCTTGATTAATGATTTATGACAGCGTATAAACCAAGTTACTGTTTTGTTTCCCATAGAGCTGGTTGTTGTCCTGTACAGCAAGTAACATTTTGACCTGAAAGCATTGATAGCCAGCTCCACATTTAGTTCTTAAGAGCTCGGTATGTGAGTTCTATTATTCATGCATTATTCTGAAACATTCACCGTGCACATGGGTACAAACATACACCACAACAATTCATAGAGGACTTGGCATACGTAGGACAGAGATGGCTGGAAAACAAAGCAAAATACAGCACAGTGGAGAACACCTGCTTGGAGTGAATTACTGCCTGGAAGGATGCCTGCGAGGGTGGTGCTTGTTGTTTGTTTGCTTGTTATAAGCAGGAAGATAATCTGCGGCATTTTGTTGCAGATTCTGCTCCTGGTGATAAGTAATGCAACTTCCTTCCCCTAAAATAGGGTTGTCTCATTCAGTGCCTCATAGCAGGAACAACACCAGCATTATTCCTTTTAGTTTATTTCTGGCGTTCAAATGCATTTTCAGTCAACAGCAAAATATATACCGTGTTTCCCCAAAAGTAAGGCCTACACCAACAATAAGCCCTAGCTTGATTTTGGGGGCTGGGCCTAATGTAAGCCCTATCCCAAAAATAAGCCCTAGTTTTGGGGCAAGGCACATACCTAAAAATCAAGCTAGGGCGGAGGTGGGGGTTGGAGCTGCCCCACCCATCGCACACCCACTTACCTTGCAGCCAGACTGCTCCTCGCCGGCCCACTTCTTCTGAGGCCTCTTGTGCAGCCAGGCCTGCATTTCTCAGTCACGGGGCTTTCTGGAAGGCCCCTGCAGCCGAGAAGTGAGCTATGGATTCAATCCATAGCTCGGTTCTGCAAGACCTCAGCAGCCGAGCACCAGGCTATGGATTGAATCCATAGTTCAGTACTCGGCTGCTTAGGCCTGGAAAGGCCTGACTGCAAAATGCAGGCCCGAATGCAGCTGCAGAACTTCGGCCCCAGAAGAAGTGGACCGGCTGGGTGGGGCTGTCGGTGCCGGAGGTGAGGTAAGGCCTACCCCGCAAATAAGACCTGGTGCCTCTTTTGGAGGCAAAAATAAATAAAAATAAGACCCGGTCTTATTTTCGGGGAAACACGGTAGTGTTTGAAGTGACTATCCATTAACTTTTTGGTTTCTTTTTCAGGTGGATAGCAGCAAGGAATCAGCTGAGGCTGCTTGTGATATTTTATCCCAGCTTGTGAATTGTTCTTTAAAGACCCTCGGACTGATTTCCACCGCTCGACCAAGTTTTATGGATTTACCAAAGGTACTGAGCAGGCTTCTAATTTGGTCTGGTCGGTTACCAGCGAGTCTGAAACAAATGGTGGACACATTGTCGTGATTGGGCTTTCTCTTCCAGGCACACAGAGTAGGAGGAGAGCCGTGTTAGTTCATGCTGCCAAAAAAAAAAAAAAAAACAGAAAATGTCTGGTAGTCCCTTTTCCAACTAACACACATCCTTCATTTGTATCAAAAGTCAGTGCTATCAGTCCCAGCAGCAGCAACTCTGAGTCTGCCACTCCTAGTGAAACTTAAAAGACAAACCATTCAGATCTTGCCGGAACAAAACTTGAGAATGCAACAAATCTATTTGTCTTGAAGATTGGATTTATGACCTGCCCTTTAAAAAAAAAAAAAAAAATCAACACTCAAGGCAGTTTATAATGAAAAAGACAGGAATGTAGAAATAACAAAATTAATACAATTGAAACCCCAAATAAAATCAGCCGCTAAAGTAACGAACAGTAAAGGCTTGTGAAAGAATGTCTGTTTTTACTCTCTGCAGAACATCCTGAGAGGAAGAGCCAGACGTGTGATTTGTAATCTGGAAGCCCTGCAGGAAAAGGCTGTTTTCCATTTTCCTGGGAGTTGAGCTCTGGGCTGCAGAGGCAACTTCAGAAGGGTGTTTCCTGCCAAGCAGGGTTACTGCGTGGGATCCTGGCGGGAGGGGCAGTCTCACCCCAAGCCACTGAGGGCCTTTAAGGTCAATACCAAAACCAAGTTGTGCTCAGTAGACCTTTTTAGACCTTTCTGCACGGCTTACGGTCACAACTGAGCCCAACCTTTCTGTTGCTAAGTGAGACATACATACATTCAATGAATTTTGCCCCATTCCACAACCTTTCTGGCCGCGCAGTTGTTGAGTGAATTACTGCAATAGTTAAATGAATCTGTTGCCGTTGTGAAGTGAGTCTGGCTCCCCCATTGATTTTGCTGGTCAGAAGGTCACAAAAGGAGTTCACGTGTACGATGTGAACGATGGTTGCAGTGTCCTGTTCAATGTCAGGATGCTGCAACCGTCATTAATACAGGCCGGTTGCCAAGCATCTGAATTTTAAAATCACATGACCACGGAGATGCTGCAACAGTTATAAGTATGAAAAACGGTCACAAGTCACTTTTTTCAGCGCCTTAACTTTGAATGGTCACTAAACAAACTGCTGTAAGTCGAGAACTACCAGACAGTAGCCACGTTGGCCCCTTTTTCTGACCCTTTTCGACTAAAGAGCACCGCAGTAGTGAAGAGAGGGTGTAACTAAGGCCTGCAAAACTCTTGCTCAGGAATAAGGGGTGCCAGTCCTCACCACTGCTGCCGCCCAGTGATACTGGGCCATGCTGCGGATCCTGTTCTGTCTGGGGAGGACGGTCCCATCCAGGGAAGCTTCCCTTCCGTGCCATGTCTGGATTTAATTTCAGTGGATTCTCCCTCATCCAGCTCATTAATTAAAATAATTGGGTAGGGCTCTCTTGGAATTGGAAGGTGGGAAGTCCTCCTCCTCCCAAGCTCAGGATGGTTTCACATGGGTGTCAGCCAGCAGAAGAGGCCAGCCAAAGCCTAGATATAGAACCGTGGTTTCATGGCACTACCTTCAGGGCACACCCTGACAGGAAGGCCTGGATGCTGCTGCCCTGGCCTCTTCCTTTCAGCAAGATCCTCCCCTCTTGGAAGCCGCCAAGACCGCCCTCCTGCATGTGGCTTCTGGGGTGGGCGACAGGAGGGTCTCATTTATTCCGCCCCAGGATAATTTCCCCAGTTCAGACAGTACTGGATTATAGTAGCCAAGGTGGAGGTCTACTCTGGCTCCCCGTGGCAGCCCCATTCTGGACAGGCCATCGATTGGAAGTCTGGCTAAAAAGGTTGAGACCAGGGTCTCCCATGTCACAAGATGAGGGTCTGTAGGTTTGATCCAGTGGTGGCAAACCTATGGCACGGGTGCCAGAGGTGGCACTTAGAGCCCTCTCTGTGGGCACGCACGCCGTCGCCCCAGTCCTAGGCCTTCAGCTGGGTTTTATAAAACCTTTTTGCTTTAGGCCTCCGCCGTCGTGTGCAAAAAAAAAAAAAGGTTCAATCAATCAATTTCAACTTCTCGCGGGGAAAAAAAAAATCTTGCAAAGTTGGAATTGATTGATTGAACTTTTTAGTCCCACACAGTCTGCTGTTACCACCGCAGTCATGCCCACCCAATGGGCCACACTCAGCCAATGGGCCACACCCACCCGGCACTCGATGATGCATAAGTGGGTTTTGGGTTGCAGTTTGGGCACTCAGTCTCTAAAACGTTCGCCATCACTGGTTTAATCCATTGCAATGAACAAAGGGTCGGGAGAGAAATTGGACCCCTGTCCTACCAGGAAGGAAAAGACCATTCTCTTTTCTGTTACTGCAATCCTGTTTGCCTTACTGCCCTGGGAATTCTCCATTTCTCAAAATCTTTTCTTAACGAGTTTTGTTTCTTGGTTCCTTTTTTTATTTTGATGAACGCAGAATAAATCGAAAGCTTAAAACTCTGCACGCACTCGGATCCAAGTGAATCTGTGAAGAGGTATATTGTTCAATAAAATGCGTTTTTAAATTTGCGATCTAAAAAGTTACCAAAGCGTTTCCTAACCGTGTTGTTACTGAAGCGTCCTGAAAAATATTCCTAAGTAGAACTGGATTTTTTGGGGGTTCAAAATTTTATTAATTTTTTTAGATTAATAAAAGCATAAAATACAAAAATATAAAGAAAGATGAAGGTAAATGAGGGGAGGAAAAGGGGAAGAGAGAAAAGTTAGAGGGGGTAATCTCTTGAGGGCTGAATCAAAATAAAGAGAATATGGAAAATAAAAACAGAACAACAATGAAAAGTTTCCATAAAGAATAAAATACTGTACCAAGGCAAAAAAAAAATTGCTGATCTGTGACTGTAATAAAATTAGGGTTTCCTGCCTGAGCAGGGGGTTGGACTAGATGACCTCCAAGGTCCCTTCCAACTTTTTATTATTATTATTATTATTATTATTATTATTATTATTATTATTATTATTATTATTATTATTAAAAAAAGGAAAAAAGCATTGACTTTCAGCCTCTTATGGTGCAGTAGAGTACGATAATAACATGAAACCTCAACTATTTACTTTTACATAATAGCATATACTAGCCATTTCTATAACACCATACCTACCTAATCAGCAAAACCCAGATTTTTTTTTTAAATTCACAGTATATTATTTCTGAGAAGCTGAAAAACATAGTGGTACTTTGGTTTCTTTGGAGTTTGCTGCTGTTTCCTGTAGATAAGCTGCATTTTAGAGTGTGATCATTAAGTTTCATATCTCGATTTCAATATTTTCTCCCTTTTTACAGTCACACTTTATTTCAGCCCTAACTGTGGTGTTTGTAAACTCCAAATCCCTTTCTTCACTCAAGATAGACGATACGCCAGTAGATGATCCATCTCTCAAGGTGTTGGTGGCTAACAACAGCGATACCCTAAAACTCTTAAAAATGAGCAGCTGTCCTCATGTCTCTCCAGCAGGTAAGTTTGTTTTTGGAATATTTTTTGCCCAAGGAATATTTTTTTGAATTAGCATTTATACCGAACTTATATCTGCAATTTCCAAAAATTCAGAATGAATTTGTTGTTGTTGTTGTTGGAAAAATAGAAGGAGGGAGGAGTGTTAGATATGTTCATCACCCTGAGTTATTTATTTAAAAATAATAATAAAAGCAGGCCATAAATAAATAAACAAGCACCTCAGCAGTTCTTTTGAAATCGGATAAAACAGTCCAATCTCTATTGTGTTCCTGCTGTCTTCACCAACTGTCAAAATGCACCTCTTGTGCGGTTCATTTCATCACACCTGCCAGGCCTCTCCCTGCTTTAGTCATTTCCACAGCACGTGATTCCTGCCACTGGCAAAACGTTTTTCTGAATAACGTGCTGCATTTTTTGAAAAAAATGACTTAATAGCTTCTGGCGAAGGAGGAATAGTTTATTTTATTATTCTAGAAAAGTAGGTGGAGGATCCTTAATTATGGGTAGTCCTTGACTATGACAGTGGTGGTGAACCTATGGCACGTGTGCCAGAGGCAGCACTCAGAGCCCTCTCTGTGGGCATGCACGCCGTCACCCCAGCCCCTCCTCACCAGCAGAACCCCCCCCCCAGAAAAAAGTTGCCCCAGAGCGCGGCCCGTGCAGAACAGCGTAGCTAAGGACATGGCAGCCGGGCAACGGGAACAAGACTTTGTCCTCACACCCCGTCGCACACAATTGATGCTGCAGGGTGCAGGTGGAGGGCGTGGCCACCATGGCGCTGCTGGGTCACCTGGGTGATCAGCAGGCCGTGGAAGCGGTGAATGGCCCTGCAGGAAGGCGGGGCGGAGAGAGACAAGGCGGGGCCTGTTTTGGGGCACTTGGTCTCTAAAAGGTTCGCCATCACTGACCTATGACAATTGAGCCCAAGATTTCCACAGTTAAACAAGACAGTTGCCAAGACAGTTCTGTCCCATTTTACGACCTTTCTCGCCACAGTTGTTAAGTGTATCACTGCAGTGATTAAGTTAGTAACACGGTTGTTAAGTGAATCTGGCCCTCCCCCATTGATTTTCTTTGTCAGGTTGCCAAAGGGCATAACGTGATCCTGGGACACTGCAGCCATCATAAATACATGCCAGTTGCCAAGCGACCAAATTTTGATCATGTGACCACAGGGATGCTGCAACCGTCATAAGTGTAAAAAACAGTCATAAGTCACTTTTTTCAGTGCCATTGTAACTTCAAAAGGTCACTAAACAATTGGTTGTAGATCAAGGACCACCGGTAATGAATCATAGGAAAGTATATTCAACAGGAAGAAATTTTACTGCATTATTAAAATCTAGATCTATTAGTAGGTTTAATTGCCAGGCTAAAATTCCAGGTCAGCTTTGTTATCCACAAGTGAGGAAATGCTTTAGTCCTTAGCACGATTCTTATTTCCAAACTACTCAAGTTGTTGGTTTTTGCATTTAGCGTAGTGTGTGTGTTTCTATTTTGTGACAGACTGAAGGCGAATTCATATTGTATTTTCTTTGCTTTTCTAGGAATCCTCTGTGTAGCTGACCAGTGCCACGGTTTACGAGAGCTGGCGTTGAATTACCACTTGTTAAGCGACGAGCTCCTCCTTGCTCTGTCTTCTGAAAAACATGTCAGATTGGAACATTTGCGCATTGACGTCGTCAGTGAGAATCCAGGACAGACGCACTTCCACACCCTGGAGAGAAGCAGCTGGGACGCTTTCACCAGACATTCCCCTAAAGTGAATTTGGTGATGTACTTTTTCTTGTACGAAGAGGAATTCGATCCCTTCTTCCGGTACGAAACGCCGATCACCCATCTTTATTTTGGGAGATCGGTCAGCAAAGAGGTCGTTGGGAGGGTTGGAATGACGTGCCCTCGACTGATTGAACTGGTGGTGTGCGCCAACGGATTACGGCCACTGGACGAAGAGCTGATCCGCATTGCCGAGCGCTGCAAGAACCTGTCGGCCATTGGCCTCGGAGAATGTGAGGTCTCCTGCAGTGCTTTTGTCGAGTTTGTGAAAATGTGTGGCGGCCGCTTGTCTCAGCTGTCTATAATGGAAGAGGTCTTGATTCCCGACCAGAAGTACAGCTTGGAGCAGATCCATTGGGAAGTGTCCAAGCATCTTGGGAGAGTTTGGTTTCCAGACATGATGCCCACGTGGTAGAGCTATTGGGGGAAAACCCTTAGCTCTTGGGCCAGCCTTGTGGCAGCTTCATCATAATAAGTAGCTTCGTGATCCTAGGATCTCTCAAGCACTATAGAAAATCAGTCTACTCATTAGTCTACTGGTTTCTAAAGCCCAGGTTGAAAAAGTGACAAGGGAGGAACCAAACACCTGTTCACATGATTTTTTGTATCGTTTGCATTTTTTCCAACAAGACGGATGCGAACGTATGTAGACATTGACATACATTTACATATTCAGAGGCTACGGTTCCAAATCTTGTTCTGATAAATTACAGTATCTTAGCCTGGCTCTTGGAAATGTTACTGCAACTGACTTAACGTTTGTACGGAGCATATATATCACTTTGTGACATAGTCCAGGAAGGTGCAGACATTAACCCAGATTGTATAACAATGAATTGCTTCGATTTGTAATTCCAGATCCCAAACCATAACTCTGGGTTGTTGGTGTTTCCGTAACATTATCAATATAGAGCCATGGGACACGGTAGTTGGGTATATTTGTATGTGGAAAATAGAAGTATTTGCTTCTTATTAAAACTCTCCAGAAAATCTAGTGGTATGGAAATTATTAGCAGTGTGTTTCCCCAATTTCTTTTTTTTTCCCCCTCTCTGCAGTTTTTTAAAATGAAAATGTAATAATCGTAAGGCAATAACATCAATAATAAAACCTGTTTTAAGGTATTACTAAAGCCCAATAAGCGAAAATATTAACGGGAGCCATACTCTGTATTGTGGGCTTTTAAAAAAAGTGTGTGCTAATTATTTTGGAGCATTGACTTTTTAAAATGTGCTGTACAAGTTTTCTAAGAACGGAAGCCATTCTTGTGAAGGTCTTTTAGAGTAAATCCTGACTTCCAGAGGTTGAATGGAAACTAAAATATGGGAAGTTGTTAGTGATCAGCTTGGGTCCTCAGTGTCTGTAATAGCCCCGTTGTAGTGTGAAACGTGACCCCAGAACACATTCAAAATGGGCTGATTTCAAGCTTTGTCTCTTCTGCCAGTCAACCTAAGGTGAATTTGGAAGGCGTTGCAACAACAAAAAAGAATGGCTTTTCAGGTGCAATATCATCCATACCCCTTAAATCCCATTTCAAAACCCTGACAGTATTACAGGCCAGCTTTTTAACTCTTCCCCAAAATGAATTTATTTTTTTAAAAAATTACAAGTTAGATGTTCCTTCCCATCACACCCTTCATTTGTAGCCTATATGTAAAAGCCATCCCATAGCAGTCACCTTCATGATGAACTATAGAAAGAGAAGCAACAGGCTGAGCGAGTGAACGGGTTTAGCAGGTTTTATCCTTCTATATTAAACTTATTTGTTAAAATGGTTAGGATTCAAAGAGCAGGGTGACTTGTTTCTCCAGAAATAACTCTGGGGCCGATGAATATTTTTGGCCATTCAGATAGAATTAATTCTAGAGTTCAAACTTTTATTACATATTGCAAAAAAAGGACTAGCTTCCCAATTATGAATTTTGTATTTTAACCCTCTGGTCATTGTTGTTTTGTGAAATGTAGAGACACTTAACTGCAAATGTCTAATTCTAACATGACTTGCTTGAATGGACTGAGTACTATATAACGTGTAACATAATTTTGTCAGGGTATATGTGAATGACGTCCATTTAGGAGCTAGATTTAATACAGCGTTCCATGTCTTTGTGAACTGACAATGTACTTAGTTCTGGTTGGTTGATGGTTTTTAAAGAAGACAAAAATAAGTTTACTCGTTTCCCAAGCTTGACATGATTCTTCTTTTTGCTTGTCTGTGTGTGCACATTTTGACAGCTCAAAGGAAGGAACATGAAAAACCGTTGGGGGAAGGCTCGTACTGTGAATTGCATCACCCCCAAAAGGTTTTCTGGGAAGTAAATATATTTCACCACTGTTTGCATTGATGCAGAGTTTATTGGCAACTGCCATTGCTTACCTTTGTAAACAGGAGAAGGCTATAAAGTTTGTTTCGTGTCTAAGAAGACAGGTCTAGCTTAAGAGGAAAAAAAGGGGATTGTTAGCAAAAACAAGAACAGAAAGCCAGCCCCAGGCATTATTTGCCTAAAGCTGCCCAAAGTTGCAGCATCGGTGAGATCGAGCGGCATAGAAATGTAATAAATAAATAAATTTGTGCATCTCCTTTCTAACTAGACGAGAATCTGATTTTTTGGGGGGGGGGAATAACTTCCAGTTATTTTTTTAACTCTTGAACACATTTAGCAGAGGCTTTTGTAATCATAAATATTGGTATATGAAAGATAGGAACTCAAAAGTATTTTGAAGTCATTTATTTTTCACAATCAAAGAGCAATTTAATCTGTGCCAGCTCCCGGTCTGTATAAGTAGCCCCCGTTTAGCGAACATTTGTAGTTATGATGGTGATGAAAAAGTCACTTTACAACCAGTCCTCACATTTATAACCACCTCGGGTCTGTCAAGCAAAGGAAAGCTGAAGATCATCAGCAGTTATTTCATTTAGCGACTGCTTCACTTAACGATTAAGTTGTGAAGCCCAACTGTGGTTGCAAAATAAGGACTTTCCAGTAACAAATACAGTTCCTGGTTCTGAGCAATAGAGCGGGGGTGCTGTCGGTTTCCATCTGATGTGAAGAAAAAGCTGTGCTCACCATCTTCTGGAACAGCTATTTTAAAAAAAATGACATTTACACACAGCATGAAATATGGAATGATGCTTAATACAAAGAGATAGGGTGAAAAATTATTTCCAAAGAACAGAGGCACTTTTGTTTGGCAATCATTTCGCCATAAAAATAGACTGTCCAGCTTGAAAAAAAGAAGTTCCACAGGTCCGTTGGACTCTTATCAGAAAAAAGTCAAGACTTGGCAAAGCTTAGCCCTCGTGCCCAGTGGCATCTGGCAAGTAATTAAGGCACACAGGTTTTTTTTCACAGCTATATTTGTGATTGTCAGAACTGGACAGGAAAATTCTGGCGATGGAGGAATGAAATCTTTGTAGCTCTCAGCTGCTGCTTCACAGATCATCGCCTAAGACCTACTGCAGAAACTGCACATTTGTAAAGGGTCAGGACTTCTGTGCTGAGCTTCTTAGAATTGGATCTCAGGTTAGATAGGATGTGGGAGGAGGAACACTTAATGCAGTTGTTAATCCATTCCAAATATTAATGTATGGCTACACAACCACGTGCCAAAGTTTGCAACCATCTAGGGAAACATATCTGCTGATAACTGAATGTCAAGTACGGAAGGCCTTTGTTAGAAGCCCGTGTACCATTCTCTGTATTCCTGAATACCACATATAGTCATTCAGGCATGAGTTTTATTTAAGATGTTATAGGATCAATCTTTCAGTCTTCCCCCTGAAGAGTTTTACTTGCTTACTTTCTGCAGGGTCCTTGGTGGTCTTTGGGCTTGGTGGTTTTCTTGCAGACGTTTCGTTACCAAACTAGGTAACATCATCAGTGCTGGCTTACTTTTCATCTGCCAAATTTGTCTAATGCTAACAGCTTCGAGGCACCTTTGTTTTGGATCCATCCAACCTTCTACGAACTCCCAGCATTTGCCATTCAAGACATTCATCAAGGAAAAGAAAAGCACAATTGTAGCCACTTATCTATTAGACTACAATTCTGACCCTCTTTAGCTTGTGATCCTACTGCATTGCCATCCACCAAAGCCTGATTCCACTGGAACAGACCATAACAAGAGGTAAATTAAAGACCCAATTAAAACCATCCTGTTCCTTATGCTGCACAAAACCAGAGTTTGGCGAGGCAGATCTCATCTGGGTGGAGTCAGCCCACCAAGAGTGGGTTAAAACGGGCGAGAATTACACATCATAATTTGGTAGCGTTGGAGTGAGGCAGCGGGATTTCTTCATATGCTATTTTCATATAGGGATATTTCATGGGCAAAAACCAGTATTCCAGATTATAAAACAAGTAAAACCGATGATCCAGAACCACCTCCTCAAGTATCCTCAATAGATTAAGGAAGAACTCCTTCACTGAATGGTAAGGTTTGAAGGGCAAATAGAAATTCCAAATAGCTAATGCCAAGGATTTGTTTCCCCACGGTCCGAAGACAGTTGTCTCATTGCCCAGGCAAACAGGCTCTCCGCTGAACAGAGTAATGGTTGTGTAATTTGTTTGGATCTTCTTGAAAATGGTCCCCAGCTCAGCCAGCTTCTGGTAGGTCCGTAGTACAAATTTGGAGCATTCATACGCCTCAAACCAGACACGGGAATTTTTTTCTGGACTGCTTTTGACCGTCCAGGTCTCGTAGTAAATGCCAGTTTCATTGTCGTATTTCACCCATTTTGCCATTTGATTGAATATAGCTCCTAAAAAGGGGGAAAAAACACAGTTGTATTTTAGAAACTTACCTGCACAACTGTGCAGATACTATTTTACAAAATAATCCAAACTTAGGGGGGTGGGGGAAAGATTTACAACTTTTGCTATTTTGCAGCATCGTATTTTATTTTTCGGTAGTTCACCTGGCATCATCGGGAAAGCCTCACATGTTTATTTATAAAGTCCAGAACCTCATGATTCTGGACTTGCAACAGTTTGTTTAGTGACCGTTCAAAGTTACAACAGCACTGAAAAAGGTGACTTATGACCGTTTTTCACAGTTACAACCTTTGCAGCATCCCCAAATTCATGATCAAAATTCAGACACTTGGCAACTGGTTCATACTTACGACCATTGCATCAGCATCCCGGGGTCCTGTGATCCCCTTTTGTGACCACCTGACAAGCAAAGTCAATGGGGAAGCCAGGTTCACTTAACAACCCTGTTACTAACTTAAAACCTGCAGTGATTCACTTAACAACGGTGGCAAGAAAGGTCGTAAAATAGGAGAAAACTCGCTTAACAAGTGTCTTGCTTAGCAACAGGAATTTTGGGCTCAGTTGTGGTCCTAAGGCAAGGATTACCTGTATACCACCCACATCCACTGGCAGAGAGGTGCAAGGACAGATAGAGAGGTAGGTAGGTAGGTAGGTAGGTAGGTGGGTGGGTGGGCAGATAGATAGATAGATAAATGATGGATGGATAGATAGATAATGGATAGATAGATAGATAGATAGATAGATAGATAGATAGATAGATAGATAGATAGATAGATAGATAGATAGATAGATAGATAGATAGATAGATGACGGACGGACAGATAGATAATAGTTGGATACATAAATGATGGATAGATGAATAGATAGATAGACAGGTAGATAGAGAGAGAGAAAGATGAGGGAGAGAGAGAGAGAGAGAGAGATGGATAATACATAGATAATAGGTAGGTAGGTAGGTAGATAGATTAGATGGATGGATAGATAAATGATGGATGGATGGATAGATAATGGATGGATGGATGGATGGAGAGAGAGAGAGAGAGAGAGAGAGAGAGAGAGAGAGAGAGAGAGAGAGAGAGAGAGAGAGAGAGAGATGATGGATGGATAGATGATAGATAGGTAAATTAGATGGATGGATAGATAAAGGATGGATGGATGGATAGATAATAAGATGATGGATGGATGGATGGATGGATGGGTAGATAGATAATGGATGGATGGATAGATAATAGATGATGGATGGATAGATAGACAGACAGACAGACAGATTTCAGAACACAAGCAGCAGGTAGCCACTCATCTATCTTTGGTGAGCTACCCGTTTACCTGAAATTGTAGCCACCTGGACCAGGGTGCCATTCTCCTTCCAGTGGGCGTCATCAATCCCTTCATAGAAACAGGCCGCCCCCTGGTTGCACCAGAAAGGGGCGGGGTCCTCAGGCCGCAGGTGTGGGAAGGTGCAGTTCCCAAGCTGGAAAAGCTCGTACCATTCCATTGTGTAGTTCTTCCCAGTCAGGGAGCTTCTGAAGCCCACAGCATCGTGCATGATTTTCTGGGAAAGAAAACAAACAACGGGCTACAGAGGCGGACCAGTGAGCTACGATTTCCCCCCCCCCCCGGCCCAAACTCAGGGAAAAGCAAACCAGCAAATATTCCATCCAGGGGCTTTAAAAGCTGCAAAGTTCCCAACACAATCAGCGTTTTGGTTTCTAAGAAAAAAATATCTTGAGTTTCCCGAAATCTTTCCTAATCTTTGGTCCCGCTCCCCTCCGAGAGCCATTTGGCCTGAGAGGATGCAAGACTTGAGGGCACAACCGGCACCAAGTTGTGGCTTATTTAAGCAAGAGACCCTGAGTTCAAAGGGAGACCCCGAGTTCAAATCCAGCCCTCTAGCCAGGAAAGCCGGCTAGATGACTTCATCCAGTCCCCCTCTCTCAGCCCAACCCACGTCATAGGGTTGTTGTTGTTGTTGTAGGGAAGGGTGGAGGAGGAAGGTGTGGTGAATACGTTTTCCACTTGATTTGCAAAAATTAATAAAGGCGGAATGAATACAAATTAAGTAAAAAAATAACGTCTTCGTTTCCGCGCTGGAATTTGCTGTTTCAAAAAAATAAATAAATTAGAACGTTCTCTCTTTTTCCTTTCCCCTACCTTTGTTCCCTATTACTTGCTTTTGTATTTTCGTATTTTATAAGTCAGGGGTCCCCAACCTTGGCTCTTTTATGACTTGTGGACTTCAATTCCCAGAATTCCTGAGCCAGCCTGGCTCAGCTTGGAAACCTCTCTTTCCCCTCAGCATGGCTGGCTCAGGAAATCTGGGAGTTGAAGTCCACGAGTCATAAAAGAGCCAAGGTTGCCTACCCCTATCCCAGAGCATGTTATTCATTCATTCATTCATTCATTCATTCATTCATTCATTTATATACTGTATATACATACATACATCCCGCCTTTATTAATTATGCAATAAAGTCAAGGTGGTGAATGTAGCAACTTAGAACTAAGGAGAAACTTCCTGACAGTTAGAACAATTAACCAGTGGAACAACCTGCCTCCAGAAGCTGTGAATGCTCCAACACTGGAAGTTTTTAAGAAGAGACTGGACAGCAATTTGTCCAAAATGGTATAGGGTTTCCTGCCTGGGCAGGGGGTTGGACTCGATGACCTCCAAGGTCCCTTCCAACTTTATTATTATTATTATTATTATTATTATTATTATTATTATTATTATTATTATTATTATTATTTTTATTATTATTATTATTATTATTTTTATTATTATTATTATTATTATTATTATTATTATTATTATTATTATTATTATTATTATTATTATTATTATTATTTTATTATTATTATTTTATTATTATTATTGTTGTTGTTGTTGTTGTTGTTGTTGTTATTATTATTATTAAAATCATAATAGGGGGGGGGGAAAGAACTTTTACAAACTCTCCCACCCCTAAAGCAACACTCAAAGCCTCCGCGGAGCTCCTGCGCCTCCCGGGAGAACGCGAGACACCCCACCCCCCAACCCCATCAACCTCGGGATTTTTACTCCGGGATGACCTCGGAGGGGCAAAAGCGGGGCGGGGTGGGCTCCAAACCCAATCCTACCAGGTGGCCCAGGAGCCCTCCGTACTTGAACTCCCAGACGGGAGCCTGCAAGCGATACACGGCCAGGACGTCCGTCTCCCGCACCTCCGGAAGGGCAGAGCCGCTGGGGCAGAAGGTGTAGCGCGCCTGGCAAAAGGGATCCGGCCGGGGACGGCGATCGAAGCGCCTGCGGGACGAGAGAAGCGTCACCGGAGGGCGCAACGGCAACCCCGGCTCGAAGGGCTTTTTCCCGCTGCCTCCCAGAACCCCAGCCCGGCGCTGCTTCGGCCCCGATACTCGCCTGTAAGGAACCGGCCAGCGGCCCTGGCCCTCGCAGCTCTTGGCTCTGCTGGCGGGCGGCTGCAGCAGCAGCAACAGCGGCAGTAGCAGCAGCAACCCGGGCACGGTCGGCTGCCCCATCCCGAGCGCGCAAGAGACCAACGCCGGTCCGCGTTGCGCAGCGGCTTCTGATCTTGCGCGCTCCCGCCGTCAGCTGAGCCGGGCCCGGGAGTCACGTGAGCCGGGAGTGGGCGGAGACGCGGCCCGCCGTCCCTCTGAGATCAGCTGGGGGAGGATTCCTTTGCAGGCTGCCCCCGCGGGGACCGGGGGCTAAACCAAAGGGATCTTCAAACTTGGCCCTTTTAGGACAGTGTTTCTCAACCTTGACAATTTTAAGGCATGTGGACTTCAACTCCCAGAATTCCACAGCCAGCATTGCTGGCTGTGGGATTCTGGGAGTTGAAGTCCACATGCCTTAAAATTGGCACGGTTGAGAAACACTGTTTTAGGACTTGTGGACTACAGCTCCCAGAATTCTTCAGCCAGCGTGCCTGGCTGAGGGAATTCTGGGAGTTGAAGTCCACATGCCTTAAAATTGTCAAGGTTGAGAAACACTGTTTTAGGACTTGTGGACTACAGCTCCCAGAATTCTTCAGCCAGCGTGCCTGGCTGAGGGAATTCTGGGAGTTGAAGTCCACCAGTCCTAAAAGGGCCAAGTTTGAAAAGCCCTGGGCTAAAACATACCAAGAGCAGTCAGGGGAATTGGCGGGAAAAGCGCTGAGAAGAGCAAGAAAGATGATTTAGGGAACTGGAGGCTTAAACATACTAAGAACGGTCACAGGAATTGGGTATGTCTAGTTCAGGGGTATAGGCAGCCTTGGCTCTTTTATGACCTGTGGACTTCAACTCCCAGAATTCCTGAGCCAGCATGGCTCAGCTTGGAAACCTCTCCCTTTCCCCTCAGCATGGCTGGCTCAGGAATTCTGGGAGTTGAAGTCCACGAGTCATAAAAGAGCCAAGGTTGTCTACCCCGGTCTAATTTAATGAAAAGAAGGACTGGGGGGGGGACATGATAGCAGTGTCCCAAATGACTGGTCCTGATCTCTATTTCTTAAAAGTTTCCAACGTATTTAAGTCTTAGGGTACACCCAATCCACACAGCTAAGGCAAGAGATGATTAGGAGGCTGGAGGCTAAAATATATAAAGAACGTTTGCTGAAATTGGGTATGACTAGTTTAGTGAAAAGAAGGACGGGGTGGGGGGTGGGATGATCACAGTGTTTCAATATTTGAGGAGCTGCCACTAAGGAAGACAAAGTCTTCTCCAAAGCACCAGAAGGCAGGACAAGAAGCAATGGATGGAAACCAATCAAGGAGAGAAGCAATCTAGAACTAAGGAGAAATTTCCTGACTGTTAGGACAATCAGTGGAACACCTTGTCTCCAGAAGATTTAGGTACTCCATCACTGGAGGCTTTTAAGAAGAGATCAGAATAGAGCTGGAAGGGACCTTGAAGGTCTTCTAGTCCAACCTCTGCACAAGCAGGAGACCCTGTACCAGGGGTAGGCAACCTTGGCTCTTTTATGATTCGTGGACTTCAACTTCCAGAATTCCTGAGCCAGCTATGCCTACCCCTGCCCTATACCATTTCAGCAGTGCTTTTTTTCCTCATAGAACTCACCAGAACGGAGTTCCAGCACCTTTTTTTGACAGATTTTCCAAGTTTTAAAAGTAACTTTTGAAAATTTGATGTTTGGTCCACATGGACTTGAATCGCCCTGTCGAGCGTACAAGTTGGCGACAAAATCATTAAAACAGTGCATGTGGGCTGCTTGTGTGTCAGTCCAATGCATGCGTACTTCGTCCGGCTGCTTGGCTTGTGGCACTGCTCGGCTTGTGATGGGTCATGTGGTCGCACGCTGAGTACTTACCGTTATGTTTCGTTACACAACTGATCTGTGTGGGTGCATGTACAGTGATTGACTACATGCGAAAGGTATAAATAAAACCTTAACAAGATGTGAATAAAAGCCTCCAGCGATGGAGCATCCATGACTTCTGAAGGCAAGATGTTCTACTGGTTAATTGTTCTCGTTCTTAGGAAAGTTCTCCTTAATTCCAGGTTGCTTCTCTCCTTGATTAGTTTCCCTATGTTGTTTCTTGTCCTTCCCTCTGATGCTTTGGAAAATAAGTTGACCCCCTCTTCTTTGGGACAGCCCCTCAAATACTGGAGAGATTGGAGAACAATGTGTGTGAAAGGCTATAGAGTTTCCTGCTTGAGCAGGAGGTTGCACTCGTGGACTTTAACTCCCAGAATTCCTGAGCCAGCCATGCTGAAGGGAAAGGGAGAGATTTCCAAGCTGAGCCATGCTGGCTCAAGAATTCTGGAAGTTGAAGTCCACGAGTCATAAAAGAGCCAAGGTTGCCTATCCCTGGTCTAGGAGGCTCACCACTTAGAACAGGAGGACTTAGGACAGGGGTAGGCAACCTTGGCTCTTTTATGACTCCTGGACTTCAACTCCCAGAATTCCTGAGCCAGCCATGCTGAGGGGAAAGGGAGAGATTTCCAAGCTGAGCCATGCTGGCTCAGGAATTCTGGGAGTTGAAGTCCACGAGTCATAAAAGAGCCAAGGTTGCCTACCCCTGCACTAGAAGATCTTCAAGGTCCCTTCCAACTCTGTTATTCTGTTATATTCCTGCCCACCAGAGGTGTGCTGGGCTTCCCCCTCTGCCCCATCTGAGGACCCCCTGAGCTCCTTTTGCCCAGCTCTGACCACGGGGGGGGGGGGGAGCAGCCCCGTGGCAGCCGCTTTCGATCCAGCCTTTCCCACACACCCCATTTTTCAGGCCTGGTTTCCCAAAGGCGATCCGGAGGTTGGATGGACAGTTGCAGGGACGTGTGCAGCCTTTTTATGCCACTGCAAAAACTATAAATCGCACAGAAGAATTTCGCTGCCCTTCCGGCAAAATGTCCATCTAAGAGTAATAAAGCATTTTTGGTGAGAAATAATCTACCTGGGGTAGAAAACAAAGCAGGTTTTGCTTCCGTGTTAAGCTTTAGGAAGCTTGGATGTGTTTCTGCAGAAGAATGTGGATTACATAATGTTGTTTACCTTTCCATTCCCCTCTAAAGAGGATCTACAGCTTAGCTGGGTGGATTTAATTCAGAAAACACCCAAATTATGTGGGAAATCAAACAGAAATTCCACTGGCTTCATGTCTGTTTCTCCTAGAGCATATCATTCATTCATTCATTCATTCATTCATTCATTCATTCATTCATATATATACATACATACATACATACATACATACATACATACATACATACACACATACATCCTGCCTTTATTAATTATGCAATAAAGTCAAGGTGGTGAATGTACCTTCCTCCTCTTATTTTTCCCCTAACAACAACGCTTTCAGTGGGTTCGACTGGGAGAGAGTGACTGGCCCAAGGTCACCCAGCTGATTTTCACGCCTAAGGCAGGACTTCAACTCGGGGTCCCTTCCTTTCTAACCTGACGCCATAGAAAGAGCTCAGAAATAAAAAGGAATGTGATATGTAATTTTGAATATATATTAGCAAGAAGAAGGCTATCGAGTGATTAATTAACATATTGTTTATGAGAATTAACTATTTTCTATTATTGTTTGTTAAATACATGAACCCAGACATTATGCTGTTTGCTAAATATTGAGAATGTTACTTGGAAAAACCCCAACCCCAACCCTAACCTTAATCCTAACCCTAACCTAATTCCCAACCCCAACCCCGACCTCACCTTATTCCTAACTCCATAAAAACTAATAAAATCTATACAAAAAAAACCCCAAAGAGCTCAGAAATAAATGAGAACAATCCAGATGAAAGTGGTTCTTATTACAGAATATTTATAAGAAAAGCCACCACTCTCACACACACAGGCTGACTTCTTAGATAATACATGGCATAAGTGCAACGAGAACAACAATTCTTGTCGAGGCAAGGGGTGCCAAAAACAAGTAGACCTTGACTTACGACCACAATTGAGACAACATTTTTGTTGCTAAGCGAGACCGTTATTAAGTGAGTTTCCCCCCATTTTATAACCTTTCTTTCGGCAATTGTTAAGTGAATCGTTGCAGGTGTTAAATTAGTAACATGGCTTCCCTATTGATTATGCTTGTCAGAAGGTCACAAAAGGGGGATCCCATGACTCCGGGACACTGCAACCGTCATAAATATGAGCCAGTTGCCGAGTATCTGAATTTTGATCATATGGCCATGGGCAGAGGTAGGCAACCTTGGCTCTTTTATGACTCGTGGACTTCAACTGCCAGAATTCCTGAGCCAGCCATGCCGAGGAGAAATGGAGAGGTTTCCATACTGAGCCATGCTGGCTCGGGAATTCTGGGAGTTGAAGTCCATGAGTCATAAAAGAGCCAAGGTTGCCTACCCCTGGCCATGGGGATGCTGCAACAGCCAAAAGTGTGAAAAATGGTCATAATTCATTTTTTTCCAGTGCCTTTGTAGCTTTGAATGGCCACTAAACAAACTGTTGTATATTGAGGACTACCAGTACATGGCATTAGTGCAAAGAGAACAATAGTTCATGTCCTGCTGGGGGGGGGGGGCAGAGGGTAATAAATTATCCGAATCTCCCACGGGAAAACCCATTCAGAATCTGGTCCTCAAGTAATGGCTGTTTAACAAATACAGTAGTGGCCAAAATTGTGGAAACCTTTTGGGAAAAATGTATTTTTGACGTTTGATGGCTAATTACACCACTTTTTTGGGGAGTACTACCATAAAATTATATATCAATGGAATTGATAATTTAATCAAGAATGTAATGCAACATAGTTTGTTCAATTATCTGTACTGTATTCTATGAAACGTTATAGCCAAATAACCAGAAAAAGGAAGCACAACTTGCTTAGGTTGATATCAGGTAGCTTTCCTTCATGTGATTATAGCCAATGAGCATGAGTGTTTAGAGAGCCAATCAGGTGTCATCTTGTTTTGACAATGAGCCAATCAGATCACAGTAGGATTCAGTGATTGATGTCATACATTGAAGCTGAGAGGAGGACATTTGTCAGTGTGTGATGTGATCGCTATCAAGTTGGTTGGGGTTTTTTTGTGTTCTTTCATTTAG